CATTTCCGTCACACGCTTGAGGTATTCAGCCAATCACAACGCACTGGATAGCTGGCCAATCAGCATACACCTCACTTTTCAGAACGATGAGCTTTGTAAAAATCGACGGGGCGGGGCATAGAGGAGCAACAATAATGTACATTATGTGGAAAATAATGTGTTTTTTGAAACTTAAACCGCATAAACACATTGCATTACACCAAATACACAACATAATGTTCTTTTTATCAACGTCATATGACCCCTTTAATTAATCTGCAGCAGTGTAATGACTACAATGTCCACACTTGGCACACTTAGCATACGCTGTGTTTGAACAGATCTACTAAAACATGTGTTTGCTGGATATTATGTTGTGGAGTTATGTGAATAAAACCTGGAACTGTCTGCATTCTCATTCACAATAGCTTGTGGTGGTTTATTTGTTGTCAAATCTTATATTTGGGTGCAGTGATGCTAGCAACATTAAACATTGAATCTGAAAATGAGGGACAGAAAATTTCTGTGAATAATTCAAACAGAGAGAGAAATTGTACCAAGACGACAGCAGCAGCTGGTCCCACAAATGCGTACAACAGTCCACCTTCCAGAGACAGCCAGCAACTAACACAAGACGCAAGAGCGGAAAAGAAAGAGGGAGTGAGAGCGAGAGAGACAGAAGAAAGAAAAGGATAAAGAGACCAGAGGGGGAAAAAAATCAGATAATGTGATTGTCTTATGTTGTTTTTAACATTTTAAAGTGTCCACTTAAAGGATGCAATGCAGGGACGGACTGGTCATTAAAAGCCCTAGGAATTATATAAGCAAAAATAGATGACTTATCAACTTCATCATGATCATACTCACTAGTTAACAGTGCCATATCCCTTTGCCTTGGTGAATCCAACAGAAATTGCTACAACGAGAGCAGGTAAACCTATAATAAGGGAACAGAAATAAGTGGAGCGTAATTGAGTACATGACATATATCATGTGCATACATTTTTTATTCAACATCAATATGTTTGATTATATTTAGTAAAATATTTAGGGTAGCAATTTATTTTACAGTACGTGTACTTTCCTGGTACATACATGGCAAATATCTTGTACCTACAAGCAAATGAGTGGTAACACAAGGTACTTACCTGAAGTGTATGTACATGGTAACAAATAAGAAACATGGCTGTACTTAACAGTCGTACATGCATGTTAATTATTTTGTACATACAGACAAGTGTGGGTACTTACAGGTAGTGCCCGTACATGATAACTAATTAGATACTTTACTGTACTTACTAATGTATATACATGGTAAATATGTAGTATTTATGGACAAGTGGGTACAAACAGGCACGTCCTTACAGTATCTGTATATGGTAACTAATAAGACACATAACTGTACATACTAATGATATGTACATGGTAAATGTGTAGCACCTACGGAAAAATGTGGTATTTTGTGGTAACAAACAAGACACATACTGTACTTGGTATGTACGGTACGCTTGGTAAGTCCTAACCTTACCTAATAAAAAGAGGACTATTTTTCAATTGCTTGTGTAGGACTGTTAATGCTAAATTGCTCTCCACAACAGTGCTTACAGAGTTTGAAGAACTTGAAGAAAGGATTTTACAGTCCTATTTCCATATACTTCCTATGTACGTACTGGTATATGTACCTATTAGTTAATGTACAGAATAAGTTATGCGGTACTGAAGTTGGGGGGGGTATAAACATGGACCAAGGTACTTATTGAGTAATTGATGGTAGGTGTAATTGCAGTTTGGAACTTTGGAAGTTGGTTGGGAACATGGCAGTAACTGTGCAGCACTGCATAGTGTTAATACTTAGCAGGCACAGTCCTTTTAAATAGGGATTTAGACACATGACAATCAGGAGTTGCAAATGCAAATATGAGTCTGGTAGCTACTGTATAATTCCAAAATAAAATCTGTCTACACACATAATTATTAGGAATGTACGTCATCAAAAATCCCTATTGGACCAATTAGTTAAAGGGGTCATCGGATGCCCATTTTCTACAAGTTGATATGATTCTTTAGGGTCTTAATGAAAAGTCTGTAACATAGTTTGGTTAAAATTTCTTAAAGGTTAATTACCCTGTCAAAAACAGCTCTTTTCAGAGCAAGCCGTTTTGTAGCGTTTTCCTTTAAATGTTAATGAGCTCTGCTGACCCTGCCCCTCTCTTCCGAGCCGCTCTCTGAGGGACTGTTTACGTTAGCTGCATTCATCATGAAACTTGCTAATTAGCACATTATTAGGAAAGGCGATTTGCAAAGATTCATTAAAAAACCTTATACTCACTTCTGTAGGTGAAGCTGGATCACGAATGATTCATGCGAACATAGACACATTTAGGTAGATCGGGGCGCATTCCCTTCAAAAACAAACGTAATCCACTGCGTCTTCAGCAGCTCAGATGTCGGGAGTAAATGACGACTGCTATGTTCATTATTACATCCAACAACAGAACACCTCAATCGTTTAGAAGTCATTCTTGCCTACATCTGCTCCGGCGGTGAAACAAAGGCGGACTGATGACAGCTCACTCAGGGCGGGTCTAAGGTAAGACGCCAGTCCAGTCTGTGCTGAAACGCTACTGTCAATCAAACTATCGTGGGAGGGGCCTGTCTGTGTGACATCACACAGACAGGCATCTGAGATCGGCTC